CCTACAACACTACATATGTTAGAAGCCCCCTTATGTCCAAATCCATTTTGGAAGATTTCGCTTTTGAAATTATTTCTCTGAGCACTGCCCACATATTACCCTTAGCATTTTGACCAGGAATATTTGCCCAATATTTACGCACTTCATCGTGCTGTTAGTTGTTGTAGACTTCTTCCCCGTCCATAACTCTCTTCTCAGACTTGTTTATTGGCTTCAATTGTTTGATCAGGAAATTTTTTATATATTTGGTTTATTTGAACCCCTAAATACTTTGCGATCATCTCCAAAAGTTAGAGGACTCTTATGTATTCCAAATTTAGACTCATCTATATGATTTGCTTGTCAACGATATTTGGCTATATTCGTCATCGAAATAAGCATAAAAAAGTCAGAAGTTCGCCTTTTGTGTATTTCGGATATCGCCTGTAAACAATGCTGGTATTTCTCACACAAAATTAGTGTTCCATTCTACCCGCTGTCCTAACCTCTGAGCGAGACTTCGTGTCCTTTGGTTTATATTTGTGACCTTTTTAACGGATGCAAAATCAGGAACATTTTTAGTTGTTGGTCCATTTCAACCCCTAAATATATTGCGGGCATCTTTGAAAACAATAGGCCTAGCCCTTCAGAGCATTACCCTACCCTTGTGAAAATTTTGGTGATAATCGGACGATAATTGCAATCTGTATATAATATCCCAAACCTGTGTACACCTTAATATTATAAGTCAAATTGAAAAAATCGCATGCGATAAAAAAATATGAAAAAATAAAAAAATGTCACAAAATACTACAAAATCTATATTAACATCACTTTTGACTTATTTTATTGCGATTTTTTAGATTTTATACTTTTATGTCAAGAGGGCATTCTGAATTGACAAACTTTGTCAAAATCGGCCCAGCCATTCTTGAGATATAAGCATTCCATCTAACATTCCTTTCCTTTGTATATACACATTGTACATATTTCGCTATATATATCCGATACATTTACTATCGGCATCTACGTAACGGTCAGAATTGACCTGTTCGTCTATTTATGATTTCGCCGGGACTAAAAATATTCGCGGTTTAATGGAAATTTGACTTTTATTTAACACAAATGTTATTGTCTATTTCACCCACTAAATATTAGCCGATGACCATTTGGAAGGCTTCTGCCCAGCCCTAAGCTCTAGCCTCATGCTAATTTCCGCGTCGATTGGTTCATAATTGCGACCTGTAGAGCAACTGCAAAATCAGACAATTTTTCAGTTTTTGGTCCATTTCGACCCTTAAATATTATGCGATCATCTCCAAAAGAAATAGGGTTCTATTCTGACCCTAACCCCACCTTTTCGTGAAGATCGGGCCATAGTTGCGACCTGTAGAGTGAGTACAAATTAACATGGACAGATGGACAGACGGACGGACGGACATACATAGCTAGATCGACTTAGCTCGGCGAGATAGGAAGATTCATATATACTTTCCTATGTGGGAAACCAATATTTCGAGGTGTTACATAATTTTTGGCCCAATCAAACTTATAATACCCCCAACACATAGTGTTGTAGGGTATAAATATTCCATTCTTAAATTTGTTTATAATTTAAAATTGTTTATAATCTCACAGCTGAATAGTCAGGTGTGCCTGTGGAAAATGTCAATTGAATGTGATAATTCTCAGCTGGCAGATCAAAACCTCAAAAGGGTTTCGGGTTCTTAGACCACACCTTTCAAAGTTCTTTATATAGACTTGAGCATATTGTTCAAGAGACATATTGTTCAATATTTAATATGGAACTTTAAAAATATGTACAGAGTTATAAATTACTTCAAGAATCATTGATACACCCAGATTTGAATTATTGCTAGGTGCCTTGACTATATTTATATCCTTAACACTATTTTTTGAATAAGTTTGATTAGGCCAAAATTATTTAACACCTCGAAATTTCGGTCCCCGACATAGGGAACTATATATGGATCTTCCTGTCTCGCCGAGTTGAGTCAATCTAGCTATTTATGTCCGGCCTTACGTCTACCCATGTTAATTTGTAACTTGCCCATATTAATTTGGGCTGCCATTGGACAACATTTTTGGGGGGTAAAATAGACCCTAACTTTTATGTAAGAAAATACAAAAACTTCCACAAAGACGCAAATATTTTTAGTCTCATCCAAATCACAAATACATTTGAAGGTCACTTCTGACACTTAAAATGATTCTGATAGCCAAGATATGGGATGTATGGCAAAATAGGTACAAAAAATCTGTAAAAGAAATAGATCTTATTTATTCTGATTATAAGTCAAGAACCGCTGGGCCAATTTTGAATATTTTTTCTTATATTTTTTAATTTTTGTCATACTTTTTATAGCATGCGATTCTTTTCAGTTTTACTTTCAATTTTGAATTGTAAATTTTCTAATTTTTTATACACCCCTTAATACTATGCGTTGAAGGTGTTATATACAGCTCGTAAATAGCGTTAGGGTCAGAATTAATGCCTACTGTTGTGGAGATGTAAATTTATGTGATCAAATGGAAC